TGATCCACTATCTACTTACGAAAGTTATGTGTCCTCTTGAACAGGGGCGGACCCATCTGTTAGCAAGGTGTGTCACCCAGCACACCATCGCTGGAATTTTTATGAGAGACACACGATTTTTGGGATGGGATAGCGTCACTTCTCCTGTGGGGATGTGAGTTTCACATCCAAAGACAATTTGGGTAAAACAAAAAAAAAAATAGAATTTATTAATTATTTTTTTTTCTATTAATTACAAAATGAGAATTAAAAACCCATTAAATACATATTTTTTTAATTTAAATCCTAAAATTAATACATGTATATTTCTCTCAATCTCTCTCTTCATTTTTCAACAGCCTCTTCGCTCCGATTGCCAAACTTCAAGCCCATGAGTCAACTTTCGTTTGAGGGGACGTGTAAGGAAGTGGTTAAGTACCATACATGAGCCTGTATAAGATCCAGTATAACCTTCTCCCAACAACTCGAGTTATTGGGATCAACTGGTTCTTGACAGGTGGCGGCAGAGAATGATGGGAGAGAGGAGGAGAGATGCGACGGCGAGAGGAGAGATGACGGGAAAGATCGTTCTCTCTGCGGCAACGACGATAGAGGATGGTGGGAGGCGAAGGCCACGACAGCTGCGACGGGAGGGCTGCAACGGTGGTAGGAGGAGGGAGAGATGGAGGCGGCAGGCGGTGACATGGAGAGACGGAGGGGGAGGAGGCGGCTAGGGTTTTGGGGCCACGGGTACGTGGTACCCTAGATTTATTCTGGATACACATAGTTGCAGGTTACCATTGAGGCGCTTGATCGTAGAAGGATACAAAGTATTTAATGCAATGATGACGTAAGATGTGTATGCCTCAGTGGCGGAGGGAGAGGGTAATAGGGTGGGTCCCGGGACCCACCCTGGTTCGGGAGGAAAATGGTTAAATTAGGTACGATAATTAATTGATACCGAAAATTAGGTCACATTTAATTGATAATAGTAGTTTTGTGTTTGAATCTAATACGGTATACATATTTGTGCAAACTTCAATTTCCTATAAGTTGATTTTCTTATGAATGAGCATGCTAGTAAATGGTATGAGGTATCATATATATTATTGAATCTCTTCCAATAACTCGATTTGTTGATACTAAATATTTTTTTACAAAGAACATTATTCGAAAGCTAAATCATGAATTATTGATTGGTGTAGGATTTATTATTAAACCTCTATCACCAACTTGATTTATTGATACTAACGGTTCTTGACAAAGAACACCATTTGAAACAGTACGAGTGTACGACTAACTAAACCAATAATTATTTGGTACGCAGAATGATATTCTTATATTTTTTACTACTAATGCATTTTAATTTACCAAAAAATTTCAATTTAAGAGTATATTAACAAAAACTATTTCATAATGTATATTTTTTCTAGGTGGACCCACCTTAAACGAAATCCTGGCTACGCCACTGGTATGCCTGTATGGGGAAGCTGTCAAAAAGTCGTCTACTATAAATTGGGGGAATGTAACCACACTTATGGAGGTTGGATTCTCTTAGCAAACCCTACACACTACATTTCTCTCTCTAAAAAGAACACTCGTGACTTGATCATTGAAGGTCTAACGAATTGAGCAAACCTTCGTTGATCTGTGCAGGCGCAAGGTGGTCGCAACTTAGAAGGGATGCATAGAGCAGTTATGATCGAGTACCCGTAGTCGGGATTTAACAATTAACATGTTATAAATTACTCCTTAAGATCTCATGTATGATGCTTAATTATTATTATTATTATTATTATTATTATTATTATTATTTTGTTTTTGCTTATGGGTGTTCATTATGAGACGAGTAGGGATGACAATCAAACTCATGGTCGCAGGTATTCGAACGCTAGTCAACGCGGGATATCTTCGCATTGACTAGGTAAGGGATGATATGGGTAAAACCCGCAAAAACTTTGATGGGTATGAGGCGGGTATGGTTTTAGCCTCCCCTCCACTCCCCACACCCATACCCATATCCGCCCCACCAAGAGCATTTCTTCACATATATAAAAAAATATATGTGGATCAAATTTGTATAATTAATAGTGAGGATAACTCGAGAAGATAAATAGTAGAAATTCAATTGAGTGGCCACCCTAATCAAAACCCAATTTCTTTCACTCAATTATCTCTTTACTCTTTCACTTTCCCCCCTTGTTAACAAGTTTATGTTGGTTAATTATCATTTAGTAGATCTATTAGAGTTAGAGAATAATAATTTGAAAAATATTATACTCTATCAGTCTATCTTCTGGATTAATGGATGTTTTAACATAATATTCTTTGATCGTATTAAGAATGACTGTGTGTTCATTGACTTCATGATATAGTAGGTCCGTTTAGTGTTATAATTAAAAAATTTCATGTAAAGTTTTAGGTATAATAACGTTGGATGTACGGGATGAGTATTACTCACGGGTACCCAAAAACCATGAGTATGGAAATGAAAATATTCCCCGTATGAGAATGAGGCGTGTGTAGATTTAGATATTTGAAAACGAAAATGAGGATGGTTTACATAAACCCGCCACAAACCCGCCTCGTAGCCATCATGCAACCAGAAACACAAGTCATAAAAATACACGCGAACTAGTAAGTTATTATATGTTTTAGTTATTCCACTGTCTTAACAGGTCCATTGCGGAAACACCAGTCAAACTGAGATAACAAAAGATAGGAAAGATTTTCCTTCATTTATGTATCCATCTTCACTGGCAAGGTTTCCCAATTCCAGGATTGTTAGACCAACTGCATTTACAACACAGCAAAGGAAAAAACAAAAATAGTCAATATATATATAAAAACAAATAATTTAATTACTCAACCATATCATTAATGATAATAATAATAATAATGAAAAGCCAATCATATTAATAATTGTAAAATAAGAGGAATAATAACAATTATAAGTTTTGTAATACGAGAAACAAAAACTAAGAAGTAATTAAGAACTCACTCAGCTCCTGGAATGCGTGCAATCTCTGGAGGAACATCTCCACATAATTTATTGTACGAAATGTTCCTGCCAAATCAAATCATTTATCTTCAAGAACTGAAATGATGATTAATTCTGGTTATAATTAATTATTTAGAAAATACTCACAAAACTCTAATGGTTGGGATCAAGCCCAGGTCTCTTGGAATGTATCCGTCTAATTGATTATGCTCCAGGTGTCTAGAAACCAAAAAAAAAAAAAAATCATGGAAATAAAATTAATTGGAGCCAGATTCTTTTATTTTTATTTTTACATAACAGATATATAATCGACAATGAGTTGATTGTTAGTCGAGTGTGCTGGACAAACTGTTAGCTTCGATCGGGTTCGATTTTGACAACTCTGTGCCAAAGGATGGAATAAGAAGATGGATATAAATTATATATTTGAACAACTTACATAAATTCGATTTTCGGTAATTTGCTCAAAGAGGCCGTAATTATGCTCTCGAGGGAATTGGAGCTCAAATCCAAGGATATAAGGTTCTGGAAGCCGTGGCCATAGCCTGTTGGAATCATTCCCCCAATCTTGTTGTCGTAAAGATTCCTATACCAGCCCCCAAAATTAAATATATATAATAATATAAAACAGAACTTTATTTTTTTTTGTATCATATTTATAAAAACGACATCAAACAAAAGCAACAAAGAATCGTATCATTAAGCCTTTTTCCCGAAAAGAAAATTTCAGCTAAATTTTTACACGTACAAATATTGCAGTTGGTCCAATCCGGCTAGACCCGGCGGTAATTGTCCGGTCAAACCGCAGCCGGGTACGTCCCTGCAAAAAGGAATCCATGCACAAAAACATTGTTAATATGCTTTTTTTTAGGGACATTGTTAATATGTTATGTACTCATCAGTATACGAAGTGAGAGAATATATGGATATACATGTGACTATGAATAGCACGTACACTCGAACGACGCGATTATCTGAGTTGCAAGTGATGCGAAGCCAAGTGCAAGGATCGACGAAACTCGGGTCCCAATCATTCATACATCCATTTGGATCAGTCATGGCGTTTTTGAGAGTCATCAGAGCATCTATGTCTGTGTTGCTCTTCACTTCCACGACACTTAGTAACAAAACAGAAAGAAAGACCACAATTAGCCTCCATAGGCAAGCTTTGATGAGTGGTGCCTCCATGGCTTTGATTTCTTGGAGCTCTTTGTTTCCTTGATTTCTCTCACAAAGTCACACAGGAAAAGGAGGATGTATGTATGGTACTTATACATGTTTTAGTGGGGAGTTTATGGTATCATATTAATTAATTAAATAATTTATACATGTTTTAGTGGGGAGTTTATGGTATCATATTAATTAATTAAATAATTTATACATGTTTTAGTGGGGAGTTTATGGTATCATATTAATTAATTAAATAATTTATGCATGGTATAACCTAGCTTTTTGGAAACCGTTATTGTGTCATGGATTATTATTGGATTGCCATATTTGATTGAGATTTTTATAGGGTAAGTTTTTTTTGTTCTGATGCTATTTAAGAAGTTGGCATTTAAAGAAAAGGAGGATAGTAACCTTTTGGTAACTTTGAATCACCTTTCCCCTTTTTCTAATGGAGAAACTCAAAAGGTTATATGTCACTTAAAATCATGAGAACGGAAAATTCATTACGCGAATAAAAGAGATGATATATTGATACTTTTTAGTTAGCAAATCTTTAATATTCGTTCCTGATATGGGTGTGGCTTGAAAAAAACCGTCGAATCTTTAAGCAAGCTAGCCTCCCCTGCTGTCATTTCCAAGGTTGTCAACTCGCGGGCTGACCCGCATTCAGTCGAGCTAGTGGGTCAAGGGTTAATGAGTCACCTATTTTAGCCTAGTTTAGCCCGGAAATATGGAAAAAGTCATTATATTGTATTTATCCTGATAACTTATATCAAATATTATCTAACATGTGAGTTATAACATATAATATTACACCAAAATAATATGTCGTACTTAGATCCAATATATAGTGAAATGACATGTCGTACTTAGAGTCATTATATTGTAATTATACTTTTAATTTAATGCTATTCTCACCATTATCAAAAAAATTATTATTACTACACATTATTCCTGGAAACTCTTTCCCCTCTTCTCTTTAATCTACACAAATGTCTCCCATCTACATAAAGTCATAAACCACAACAGCAACCTGCAACTCTATATATATACACACTTCTGCAGTAGTTCAGTATACCTTGAACTGACTTCTGAACCTAACGAAACACCATGTCTTCATCAATGTCTTATATCTTCTCCATCCATCAAAGTACTTCCCAATCACCTTCCTGTAACTCGGTCTCTGCTTCACCAATTCCCAGTACTCGGCCACGTTTGGCCTCGTTCCAATGTACTCATCTCCCAAATTCAACAGCACCAACCGAGCAAGTACAGGGATCAGCATCACGTCAGCCAACGAGAACTCTTCCCCAGCTAAGTAAGCTGTTTCCCCTAGCTTGGACTCCACTTCATCCAGAAGTCTAATTAGTTGCTCTCTGCTGCGCTTTACAACCTCAGGGGTTTTCAGCTTCTCTTCAGTCTCGTATGTCTCTTTCAGCTTCCTGTGGTATGCACTGGCTAGATCAGGAGATTCAGCCATCCGAGCTATCAGAACCCGCCTTGTGAATTTGGAGACTGGAAGGCGGTACTTCTCTGGGATGCGGGAAAGCGTGAAGAACTTGGGGTTCCATTGTTGTATCTTCTTCATCCAATTAATGACTTCCATGTTGCTGAATGCCATGTCGTTGGCGCCTGTCGAGACAAATGCAATTCTTTCTATGTACCTGCAAAATTGCTCTTAGTATTTAACAACTTAAACCATATGGTCGATCATTTCAGAAAAAAAACATTTGAGGAAAGTAGTAGATGACGTACTGGACTATCTCGATGGTGTCGAAGATGATGTGGGTTCCATTTTGGAAGACGGGGAGCCTTGCACTTGGATTCATCCTGAAAAACGATGCGTCTAGATTCTTGGCAGTTATGGGGTTAACATGGTTTGAAGTGTAGTCGATGCCCTTCTCTTCCAATGCCAGTCGAACTTTCTGGCTATCCATGGAGAAAGCATGGTGGTATAGCTGCATCCTAGCTCAGAAGAAGGTTCACTCTTGAACAAGCATGCAATACCAGCGAATTCACGCTACCTGAGCTGTCAAAGACCACAAATGAGAACCATTCTGGCACCGTAAGCATTTAAGGAAACCAAAACCAGGTTGCGAAAAAAGTAACGTATAGAACAACCACAGAAGAGTCTTGAAATGAGAATGACTTCCAGGTGTAGATGACCTGTAGTGTGCAAGAATTGGCTGGTGCTAAAGGGCATATTCTCAGAGCACTAAACAAATTTTTAAAAGATGAGACTTGCTGTTCTACCTACACCTCCCTGTCACACCAACTATTGCTAATTGAAATATTCCTTCAGAGATGAAGCAAAAGAGTTTCTGTCGTGGGTTATAGAATAACTTCTACATGCCTGAACCTAACTCTATATTCAGACTTGGGCATCCTCTACCTAACTTCGCCTCTACCCAGTTACCAGAGAAATCCAGGACAACAATATTCCAGTCCATAAGGCCATTAGCGTGAAAATTAAAACCCAATTTTGGATTATCTCAGTTCATGCATCTACCAGTAACCTCAGTCCAGAGTTTCCAAGGATCCATTACCGAGCCATCCTCAGCTATGTAGATTCTTCGGTACACATATCCTTTCCTTGTGAAAAAAGCTACAGTTCTTCCAGAAGGGCAGAACCCCCAAATTCACAAGCAATCAGACCACAGAAGAAAATCTCTTCTGATAGTAACATGCCAAGGAAGACTGCAGTTTTCTATTGTTCATCATCGAATAAATTAGAACAGTTGGGAGTTCTTCCCTAATAATAAATTTCAACTTGGTGCCAGAATCCACATGCGTAATCCCGACGCAGATTGAATCCCCTTCAACGGCAGAGAACAAAATCCCTCTCACGGACAAACAACAGAACAGAAATAACCGCCCCCAACTCTATCAAAGATCAAAGCTTTTCTACAAATGGAAGCTGAAAACAATCGGACCCAGTTAAAGAAAACTTGACAGCAGTCAATCAAAAGCGATTGCATAATTGGAACAAGCAAGCAAGCAGGGCAAACCCAAGTGGAAAGAGATGATGATGATAATTACCCAGAAAGCCGTCGTGACAGAAAGGCTGGAAAGTCGAGCAATTTTTCCCTTTGGACGAGCAAAAAGCTGAGAAGGTGGTTGACTAGGGTCTTCTCCTTTCGGTTAATGCGGTGGGCTTCTGAGATTTTGTCTGTGTTAATGGCCGGTGGCGTGGGATCCAATTTGGCCGACCTTCCAAATTGATGGCACTTTAATAAAACTTTCGGCCTGTTAGAAAAAGGACAGCAGAAGGGTTTAAGCTAGAAGTTCCCAGTGAAAGTTAGCATTATGTATTGTATTTATATGGTCCAATTTCTACCCTGTTTGAGCCGCAGGTTTATTCAGTTTTATGTCACTACATTACATATACAATCGCAGAAAGGAATCCTTGTTGTTGGTTAAGTGCTAGTTTACAAATTCATTAACCATTCTTATGTTCAGTGGCATTTTACATTTATATCAAATATTGGTGTTTTCGGAAAATGTTATAATGTGTGAGACTTATTTGTGAAAACATGGTTTGATTCAGGGTAATTGTGGAAGAAATAGTGTCAAAAGGCGGGGAGATTTATTGATTAAAAGTGGGAGAAGATACATGATTCCCAATTAGAATGTAAACTCAATTATTTTCTGTCCTCGAGGGCAAATATATAAGAGGTTATTGATGATCTGTTCCTCGTCGAGTTATTGGCTTGTAGGAGATGCAATGTTTTGGTGTCTAGATTGGGGCTGGAACACCGGTGGTCTTTATGGGTGACGCTAAGATTGTGATTGAAAAGATCATGGAGGGGCAGTCTACTATTACCCGTGGGGGATGGTGATTGAGGAAGTCATGTATCTGCATCATGCCTTCAATCCGTTTAGTGTTAGGTTTGTTGGTTGTAGTAGTAACAATCATTTGATGACACGAAAAACTCTTTCATTGTTCCATTCTTTGATTGAGTTCAATTTTGTTTATTAATTTTTTTCCATCATGTAAACCACTTTGTATCTGGCTGTTTTTTCTCACAATATGTGCGATCTTTAAGTAAAAAAGAAAAAAACAAGTGAAAATTTTCATTTTGTTAGTTTGTACAGTAGATTTTGGGCTTACGAACAAGGGATTGGTCTAGTGGTAATACTACTAGCCTTGAACCTGGAGGTCTCAGGTTCGAATCCCTTCAGTAGTACCTAATTACAAAAAATAACCTATATCACCCTTATCAAAAAACAAAAAACAGTAGATTTTGGGCTTACAAATGGCAGTAATTTTGACAGGCTTTAGAAAGTCCCCTTTAGCTTCTCCCAGCTGGGTTGGGCCTGCTATCTTCCTCCCCACTCCCCGGTCCAATCTAAGTATCTAACCCTCCACGTTTAAGCACTCTACAGTCTACACACACATTTAGGGCTTAGTGCCCACGTAAGGCTATTGCATTGTCATTGGGCTCATCCAGCTCGGCCCAACACATGATCCCCAAGCCACAGACTGCTTTCGCCCAACGCCAAACCTTCAAACTTCATAACAAACTTTCAGAAGGTAGAGAAACTCTTCTTAACAACAACTTCCAACCTTTTTCTGAACATGTGTAACTTTAAAGTTCTTGTAAGAATTTTTTCGTTTCATCTCAAAATGTGTCTTCTCACATAATGTTGGATTATTTCTTATCAACCATTAATAATCTCACGTACTTTGTCGGTGTTGAATTTTTTTAAAAGTGTTACAGAGCTCCTCTCCTCAAAATGTAGTCGTTATTGTAATTTTACTCCACGGTGAGAGCACTGAGAGGGGGGAAAACCCAATTTACCCTAAAACAAAGGTAACTATTTGACCATGGAAGTAATGAGTCCCAAGTAGTATGTAAATATATACTAATTAAGACCCAACAGCTATATGTGCAGAGTTTGGTGAGAAATAGATGAGAGTGTGGAGCCAAAATGTAGATCTTCTCATCTATATATATGTTTGTCACATGTATTGACTAAGACATCAAACCATTACCCATTAGCCTGCAACAATTAATAAATGCTTCTAATATCTTATCTCTCTTTACCCATTTTGCCTTCTCTTGTTGGTTGGTTTGTGGAAATTCAAGTGCATGTGATCCATGTCTGTACAATGAACCATAGATATTAGATACCTTGTTTTAGAATTGAGATGTGGTCTATTTTTTCAAGTATAATAAAATAAGAATGTAGTTTCATGGAATATCATGTCTAAATTATATTTAAAGTTCTTTCAACAATTCAGTGGTAGAGTATTGATATCCAGCGGAGGAGTTAGATTGAAGTCTGGAGGGGCTATAGCTCCCCCTCAAATTTTAAAAATATAGTATATGTGACATTCGTAACAAATTTAGAAAATAGAGTAATTGATATCATATTGTAGTCTAGGATTACTTATTTGGCGAGTCTTGATGTATAAAAAATTATATCAATTTCAAATATATATAAAGGAAGCTGAAATAATATTATCCAAAACCCTTACCAATATTGGCAGAAGCTGAAATCGGAAGTTAATCAATTGGATGGGTTCGAGCCCACCAACTGAGAAGGCTACGTTTCCCCCCTTTACCCAACAAGCACGCTGTCGCGAAACACATACGTTCAACGGCGGCGGCGGCCGGAGATTAAGCTGTAAGTTTTGTACCATCACGCGCCATGTCGTCAGATTGCAACATTATTTGTGAAACACACATTATATTAATGATTGCAATATTCAGTTAATATGTCGTTTTGCGTCTTCCAAACCCCATCTTTAACTTAACAGCAACTAAACACCTAAATAACCGATACTAAAAGACGTTAATTTGGTATATGGTCAAATTAAAACGAAGCCTCCAACGATTATGAAGTCTTGTTAGTACTTAGTAGTCAGTCATTGAGGCATTCCAATTCACAATTAATTGAATCTCTAGTTCACAATAAGCTAAATAAGACAAACTGTAATATTTAGAGAAGGACACACTGACGTGGCACAGTTGCGTTGCAAATAATGTGGTCACAATGATGATGTCCAAAATATAGCAAGATTGATCTTATTAGATGAAAAAATTTACAGGCAGTTTTTTTTTAAATTAATGAAAAACAATCATTCGTAACTGAAAAAAGGAAATAAATGATAATGGCGTCCACAATCTAAGTAACACAAGCGACGCCCATAATTCCCGGCCGGTCTTTGAATTAGGGTTTGTTTTTCCGGTAGCTAGCTTGCTGGAGTAGAAACAAACAAGCAAACAAATAGGATTTTGTGATGATGATGATCAACTTCTTCCATACCTAATTCCCATGTCGTTTTATGTATGCCTTCCAACAGATTTTCTCACACTGAGAGCGGACGGGGCAAAGCCCATATGTCTGCCTGCCGCCCCCACTTCTTAGCATGGCCCATGAAAGCGTACCGTGTACCGGCGGATTAACCACGAAATATTTGTATTGAAGATTAAATCAGTAGGCGGTATTTAACGGTCTAACGGTTGAACTACGATTAAACCACAATTTCATTATAAAATATTATACCGCTGACTTTTTCCAGTACGCTATCCGGAACGGTTTTATGAATCATTGCTTCTTAGTTACTGCTGCTGCCTTTTGCTTGCACCTCCCACGATGGCGCACATGCTGCTGCTGCAAATATATATCGTCAATGGGGGCCGGCCGCCATGTTCATGTGCTCACTCCACCACCCTCAACACGAATCGCAATCTACTGGCCCATGCATTATATATATATAGATCACCTGACGTATACTATACGCCTGACGTACACCAGTCATCACCATATATATATATATATATGGGGAGTTCTACAGTACCCAGGGTGAAATCCAGGTTACCACATACATTGAGTAAAAAAATGCTATCCAGAACTTGAATTGACTGATCTTTCGGACATGATACTATAATCTAACCCTTAAAGATCAACATCTAGGTCTTAATTCTCTAAATCTTATACCCCAAGATCAATTTAATTAGAAACAATTATTGGCGGTTATGAATTGTCCAAATATAGGCAAAAAATCAATGCACAATCTTAGGGTTTATAGTTTCTGATTTAGATAATTAGGACCTAGGGTTCACTCATTAAGGGTTAGGGTATAGTATCAATCCCAAAAATCTTGCTAATTCAAGGTCTAGATAGCGTTTTTATACTTAAGGTATGCGATACCCCGGATTTCACCCAGGGTACCGTAGAAGGCACCATATATATATATATATATATGTACAAATAATAGGTGCACATAAGAAAATCCAAATTAAATAAATGGTCGTGATGAAAATAAGTAAGTTACGAAAATCAGAAATGAGAGGCATTAGTCCATGGTAAATTTCCATTTTATTTCATCAATTGACGCGAAGTTATTTCGCCAATACGATCATATATGTTAGAGAGTGGTGTAAGATCCAGCATAGCCTTCTTCCAACAACTCCAGTTATTGAGACCAACTGGTTTGTCAAGTGGTTGTGTGTTCGAATCTCCACGATCTCCAATATTAACAGTTGTCTTCAAGAATATAGTATAATGGGCCTGTGCAAACTTTAAACTCATGAGTTGGCTTCGTTTGAGAGGACGTGTTAGAGAGTGATATTATGTCCACGAGAATAAGCTAAGCATGATCTCGAAACAATTTCTACAAGGTAAAAAAAAACTATACAAAACGTGCCTACTCAACATACAAACTTTACATGAGATTCTCAAGTGAACCATAATGTAAGAGCTTGTAAGGCCCCTGCCAACTACCTTCCCCAACCTTTTTCCATCTGCCCCTATTTGACGATAACAATTTTTAGGCGTAGGGTTTTGACTAGTACCCATTTTTTAATAAGATGATTAACTAGTGGCCGCCGCATGTTGGAGCTTCTTCTCCCTTGCCATTATATAATAGGGTAGAATACTATAATACTACAGGAATCCATATTTAGGTGTCGTTTGGTTTTGGTGATATTTAAATCAATGCATTGTGGTAAATGTATGCATTGTAATATACATGCAATTAAGGAAAATGATATAATGTACTTTACATTGTTTGGTTTTGGTGATAGTTCTTGGGTTAATATTTTCGTATGGCCTGAACTTTGACCAAAATAAACATACTGGCCAATCTTTTCGATCTATAACATCCTGGCCTGAACTATGCACCAAAATAAACAATTTGGCCAGATCCGACTTTTGACCGTTAACTTGGATGGTCAAACGCGTTGACCGTTAGTCAACGTGCCATGTCACT